TGGTTCACAACCTAGATGGAATTGAACAACCCATCGGAACGGTTGTAGTGTCAACCGTACGGTTTTTCTTGACCGATTAGTTGCACTAGTACATTTATGTATTGAACAGGATCCCAGAGAGGGATGTTCGTTTTATACTAATCGTCGTAAACGAACTAGGCCTCAGTTAATTATTGCGTGCTCTTAACCCGTAAGATATTAAATAGGCATGTGCACATAATTGTTGTTGCTTTGATTCTTTGGGTGAGATCCAAGCTGGGTCGACATACTTAATGAATTGGGTAATGACATTGTGTGTTCGATGTGCTATTAGGATATTTACGGTCACCATGTGCGTTGGTATGATGATGTCCCCGAAGTGAGTTCATGAAGGAATATTATGCTAAACCCTGCAGGTGGATTTATTCCGGCATAATATGAATGCTATGAGCGAGCGCTAGCTTCGGTAATATAATATATTAATTAATTCTTGATTATTAGTGATCGAATTAATTAATGGACATTATATCTTAAACATGGGGAGGTAAATCGGATAATTATAATAAGGAGTCTCAAATGTAATTTGGGATAGGTGAGGGGAGTGCAATAATATTATTGTGGTGGACTTTAATATTATTAATATATTAATTGTGGGGTTGCTCCACAGTATTAATATATTAGAAGCCCTTATCCTATTCTTCTTAGGGTCCCTACTGTAGCTCTATATATACAGCATTAGGCTCATAGAAGAGAACAGAACAATCCCATAATCCTTGGGAAACGTCCAGCCCTCTCTTTCTCTCTCTTCCAAGGAGTTCTTCTATTTCTTGTGTTCCACTGATACAAGATCTAGAAAGCTGTTTGAGAATACAGTAGAAGATCTTAAGGTATACAGAGATTCCAATCATACATCCAAACCGGAGACCAAAACCAGCAAGTGACCATACCACGACGACCAGGACGACGAGACGAAGAGATCGCCGTCGAGATCGCCGCCGTACGCCGTACGCCGCCGCACGCGACGCCACGCGCCGCCGGAGTTTTCCAGCTGCCGAGGATAACGCGCGCGCGTGAGAGCACGTGAACGCTCCGTTTTCCGACCGATCAACGCCGTTGACTTCGCCGTGACGTCAGCTTTCTGGATTGGTCAAGTTTGTTCGATTCCGAGAAGATTTGATTTGCGGTCAACTGTCCGGGCCAGCCAGATCTACATAAATTTTAAGCAGTAAGTTTTCTTCATCAAACCTTTAGATCCGCTGCGCATAGGTTTATGTTGAATGTTTGTCCGTGATTTGTGCATATCGAGATCCTCGTGGGTTCCAACATGTTGGCGGGCCCCCAAATCACTCCCTTCCAAGGGGCAGGAGTGCCTTGGGATCAGAAGAATTCATAGACGCATGAGGGCCCCTTGGAGTGAGATATGGAGTCCCGACTAAGAGCGGCCTCGACGACTTGCGTGCTACCCAACTTTTCAACCCATTAGGTTCTGAATATCATAGAGGTTCTTGAAAAGAGGTGAATCGCTCTTGTGGATAGTCCATTCCGAAACGGATTTTTGCTTTAGATAAACATGACGAACCCAACGGTACCACAAGGTATTCTTCTTAGCTTGTATATTCCATAGTGTTCGAGCCAACAAAGTTTGCTTCCACGCTTTAAGGTCCCGAAGGCATAACCTTCCTCCGAACGTGGAAGGGTGACGGTGTGCCAAGCGACCGGTGCCATCTTTGAGACCCAACAGAAGTGTCGACATTGTTGGATGATAAGCATACGAACGGTTGACGTAAGAGGGAAGATAGACATCCAAAAGCATTTCCCCCTTGGAGGACCGATCTTATGAGCTTATGAGAGAGAGGAAGCGTTCCATCCATTGATATATTCAAAATTTGATTAATGAGTGCATAAAATTGCCCAACGGTGACTCTTTCAGCCGTGAGTGGGATACCAAGGTACCGAAAAGGCATAGACCCCGGACGGAGGTTAATGTTACGAAGAATCTCCGAATGCTCAAATTGGCCAGCCCATGTTATGTAGATGTTGGATATTTGGACATTCATTTCCAAACCCAATTTAGCCCCATTATCTCTCAAGCATTCCATTAAGATTCGAATAGAACGAGTGTCACCCCGCGAGAGAAGCATTAAGTCATCCGCAAAGGCTAGGTGAGTGATATTAAGAACCTCACATTTCGGGTGACAGTTGAAGCCCAATCCACTAGTCGTGCTCCGGTTCGTGAGCCTCGAGAGGTACTCCAAGCAAATGACAAAGAGATAAAACGAGAGCAGATCCCCTTGTCTCAAGCCCTTAGCTCCTTTGAAGTGTTCACAAAGCAATCCATTGATTGAGATTGAGTATGAAGTCGTGGTGATGCACTCCATGATCCAATTAATAAACGTCGCTGGGATTACAAGTCCATGAAGAACTTGCCTCAAGAAAGCCCAAGAGATAGAATTAAAAGCCTTGCGGAGGTCAATCTTGGTTGTGCATCTCGGGGAGATCTGTTTTCGCATATATTGTTTGAGTAATTGTTGCATGAGGTGGATATTATCCGACATGTTCCTACCCCTCACAAAGGCGGCTTGAGCTCCATCAATGATTGAGCCGGGGGCAGAGCTTACGCGTTGGGAGATGATTTTCGAGCAAATTTTGTAAGTGGTATTGCAACAAGCAAAAGGTCGGAAGTCCGAAACTTGGGACGCATGAGGGCCTTTGCGGACCATTACTAGTGTAGTATGGTTCCATTGCTTGAGGAGGCGGCCATTCCTAAAAAAATCTTGCACGGCCGAGGTAAGGTCCTTTCCAACAATGTCCCAACTTTTTCAAAAAAACATTGAGATGTACCCGTCCGGGCCGGGGGCCTTACCGCTTTCGATGTCTTCAAGAGCGTCTTTGATTTCATTTTCGGATATCGGGGCATGGAGGGCATGGTGGTTCTCTTGAGAGATAAGCGGGCCATGTCGGATGATCTCGGGATCAATGTCCTCGGTCGGGGTCATAGTACCAAAGACCCTTTCGAAGTGATTAACAAACTCCATGGACATCTCATCAAGAGATGTAGTCATACTCCCGTCTTCTCTCGCAATGGAGGCTATAAAATTCTTCTTGGAATTCCTTTTGACAATAGCGTGGTAGAACCCGGTGCATTTGTCTTCCTTGATTTGGTATTCCTTTTGAGGCATCCAATTATATTGCTAATACTAGTGGAACCGCAGGAAATGAAGAAGACTACAACACATACAACTATGAAGACTAAACAGTCGGTCTATCTTGTCATCTACTTTTATTAAGGTAAGCATAGTAAGAGAACTACGAGGACTTTGATTCCATAAGAAAGATATTCGTAGACAACTTAATTGACATATTACATGTTAAAATATTATTTTGTAACCCAAAAAATTCTTTTTTTTTTTTTTTTGGTACATAGAAGACTGCCAACAGCCTTAAGCTAGGACTTGGCGGGGATACGACACCCCGAGAATATCGTGATCAAGCCAGACACCTAACCCAGCAGGAGGGAAAACCAGACGGTGTAAGCCAAGCGGGCATGACACCGCCATATTCGCCAAATGATCGGCTGCGAATTTCGCTTCCCTATAAATATGGTTGATACGAACACTCCAATTTCGGTGGAGAAGATCGCGAATCGCTCTAACCATAGCCTCATGAGGACCCAGAGCGCCCGCCGACTCGCAAACCATTCGCTGAACGCAAAGGCTATCAACCTCGGCCTCAACTTTAGTGAACCCCAACTCCCACGCCAACATAAGTCCTTGAAACAACCCCCACAGCTCAGCTCCCGTGATAGTGCACCACCCAATATTGAACATAAACCCGGCCCTCCATCGCCCAACCTCATCTCGAATCAAACCCCCGGCGCAACTTCGGCCCGAGGCCTAAAAAAAGGCACCATCAGAATTAACTTTGACCCAACCTGCACTCTGAGGAGACCATCGAACCATGCGAGTCACATGCACAGCTAGGGAATAATTGTCCGTCAACCGTAGCACCTCCATTCGCCGATCTTCAACACCTAGGGACTTTTGCTGAAAAATTCTCTCGTTTATCCATAACCATGCACGCCACACGGTTATCGCGAACTTGCTGCTCCACCTCACGCATTTCCCAGCCCGCACCAACAACAGATTTAGGCGCATCCAGGACTTAAGAGGCAGCCAAAAAAATTGCCTATCGTGGCCCACCTGTAGAAGTTTCTACCACAGAGCTCTGATAGGGGGACAATCGCGCAAGACATGAATCAACGACTCCGTTTCGCCACACACGTCACATGCATCTGATGCTGAAAGATGCCACCGTAAACTAATATTTTAACTTATTAATCAACTAAGCTTAAGTCAAATTTCTGTAAACCCCCACCCCCTCCCATCTCCCTCATTTTTATTTTTAAATAAAAATCGGCCTCGCACATATCCGAAACCGGCTAATTGGCCCCAATCCATCGGTTTGACGAACCCACCCGTGCCTACATTCGGGCCGACTCTAGGTCTATGTTTTCAAGGCCGGCGACCCGTCGAGCCATACCGGGTCCGAGTCAAGCATGCCAAATGGCAGCAATGTATACAACTTATACTAGAAATAATGAACGATAATAAGTCAATATGACGAAATGAACTAGGAAAATACTAAAAAAAACACATACCAAAAATCACTATTCTCATAAATTTAAAAAAGAAGGAAATAGAAGGAACATCACACATACCAAAAATCACTATTCTCATAAATTTAGAAAAGAAGGAAATAGAAGGAACATCAGAACCATTATCAAGGTTGGCTCATTAAGTTGACAGGCATGGCGCACGAAGGACCTCCGAACCCCTAAGAGACCACGCCACAATACAATCAGAAAGATGAAAGTTGGAAAAAGGCAGCTTCCTAGCTACCTTGACCGAGTTAACCATCAAATTGGATCCAAATACCCAAAGCCCACAAATTACATGTGCCCTCTCAATGAGATTTAGTTTCATCAATATACCAAAAAACATACTCTGCAGAAAAAGTTATCATCAATTTGATGTGTGGTCTCGACTACTCCTTGCCCCGTGACCGGAGGATCGGCCCACTTGAGAGTCCCTGGCCCGGCCCTTGTCGTAATCCGACTTGTTACCATTGCCATTTCTAAAGCCGGTCCTCGTTGGGGACCTCACCCTACCTATATGGAACAATTTAAAATAAATCAGAATTTTCCAAACATAAAAATGTTAACCCCACAACCATTTTCTATCAGTAGAGTAGATTCCAGTTTTGGATGTGTGAGAAAAAATTACCAGTAGATTTCTTGTGTGCAATATAGGCTTCCTTTTCGCCGAATTTTACATGATGAACCTGCAAAACACCAACATTAGTCGTATTTAAAGAAACTGAAATAAAAAGATACTAATATTCAATTCAAGCCACGAGGTTTAGCGCTACAAAATATCATAATGAAATTTTTAAATGCCACATGAAGATGTCTCAAATCCAAAACAAACACACCCGCTTGTACTTTGTATGTGTATCCTATAAATACTCCATCTTGAAAGACAAACTCATGTCAATGAAATGATTGTAATCTTGGGCAATGATTTTGCTTCATTTTCTTTTAATCAGGCTAAACAACAGAGGTGTTTTCGTAAATAATATTCGGTAGTAAAAATTAGGTACCTCGACTGCACGACGAGCAGAATCAGCAGATTCGAATTCAACAAATGCAAGACAAAAACCATCCTGAAAAAAATGAAGTATAATACAAAAATGCAGAGACATCAGAAGAACAAGAAAATCATAAAACCAAGAATATGAATAAGTAAATCAAATCCAAAAGGCATACGTTATGTTTCCTAATCTGGACAGCATCTGGATATTTTCTGATAGGCCCAAACTGGTTCAAGGCATCCCTTAGAGCTTTTTCAGTTATCTCGTAAGGCAAGCTTCCAACAAATACTCCTTTGGCTGCATTATATTTTCAGTGACCCAAAATTAAGGTGTACGTGGAGAAGCTGAACTAAATAAAGAGGGAGAATTACCTTCTGGTGGGGTTTTTGCTTCGGGTTCACTTTTCCCAGATGGTGGTGATTTAGACACGATTTTGCTCGAAGATTTTGGCATCCCATTCTTGAGAGGAGCTTTTGGACTTGGAGTGACCACTGCAGACTTCGGTGTAGCAGATTTTGGGGAGGTTACAGGGGCATCTTTCGCCAGCTTCATAGAAATCACAATTTTTTTAAGTACAAGGCCATTCATATTGACAAGATTATGTTATTTGCAAAAGTTCCCCTTTGATTTAGCCCAAGTACAAACACACACATACACAGAGAGAGAGAGAGAGACCAACAACCATTTGTAGTTGCATACACACCCTATTGCTTGTCTCTTACACGATATGCACAACCAAGAGGAGTTTTTAGTAATTCTCAAACAGAACTGGTGGCTTTTGTAATTAGAATACAACAAATCCCACGGGACGCGGGGGGGAATTCTAATGTAAGGCTTGATTTTTTGTTATTGTGTCACAATAAGGCCTAAATTTTTCACCTTTTTCATTTGAAAGTTTCAATTTTAAGTTACTCTCAATCATTGTTTTAAATAGCTCGCTACATACCTTTTTTTTGGAAAAAACGTGACGTAGCCTTATTTATTTAGCGTTTTTCCCGAAAAGCTTACGCGAAATGTTGAAACGACACGCTTTCTTACGCTATATTGCGCTATATTTTTGCAACGACATTTGAACAATAAAATATTCAAAAACTCATATTTTTTAGGGATTGGAGTCATATTTATAAATGACAATTAAAAACTTAAAATTTTGATAATGATTTCAAATTAAAAGTTTGATAATGCAAAATCCTAAATTGAATAGTGGAATGTTTTTGGTCTATTTTTTTTAATAACATTTTTATTTTCGATATGGTTATATATTATGACTTTGCCTCATATATTTTCGTTGTTTATTTTTATTTTTTAGTATATTCGATTATTATTAAATATTTACATTATGATGATATTTACATTAAACAATTGTGAAATAATCCTTAGATGTTATTTTTGAAATCATTCAAATACTATGATAATTTTTGTAATCAACCATCTATTTTATTATATGCAAATATACTTGTAATATTTCTATAAAAAAATTTATACCCAAATAGCTTACGCAACACGCAACGCTATTTACGCTACGCAGTATAAAGACCAAAACGCGACGCATTACGCTATACGCGTTTTAAAACACTGCTCTCAATACAAGACCTACTTTTACATTCTACTTTTCAATTTAGGACTCCAAGAGCATGTTTGTATACAAGAATTCTCACAAAAAATTTCAACATTTTAACTCAACCACTTTTTTCAACTCAACTTTAACTCAACCCTACTATCATCAATATTATCAATATAATAAAATAATATCAACCAATCATTTATACACATCACATCAACCTTAATTCACTATTCATCCACTCACATTATTTTAACTAACAATCACATCAAATTTTAGTTATTTTATTTTAAATATTATTTTAATACACCACTAACAATTAACCATACTGCATTTATCAAAATTAACCAAATCAAACCAAAAATCCAACAAAACAAAAAATTTTCATATCCAAACATGCTCCAAATCACTTTGTATTTTCATATAATATGTAAAAAACAATATTTTTTAAAAAAATTTTTTAAGTACTTATGATGAAAAATATTAATTATCTTTAACAAAATCATCTAATAAGATAATTATTTCATAATTTACATTTATGAAATATCTTATTGAAATTTATTTTAAAAGTTCAAGATTAATTTTAACTTAATTTTAATCAAATATGTGATAATATTAAAATATAAGCTATTTAGAAAAATGGTTTTATGTTTTTAAATAAACTTGTAAAAAAAATTATTTGTGAATAAAACTAACTACAATAGAATTTTCCGGGTATTATTTTTATATATTCTTAACTTTTTCAAAGATGTAACTTTCATTCCCAAATAATATTTTATATAATTTTATTTGAAAAAATAATTTTTTTTTTCTAAATAGTTTATATTTTAATGTTGTCACATATTTAGATTAAATAACTTAAAATTTATTTTTTAACTTTTAAAATAAATTTCATTAAGTTTTTACATAAATGGTAATTATGAAATAATTATCTTATTGGGTAATTTTATTAAAGATATTAAATATTTTTTTATTATAAGTACTTAGAAAAATAAATTTAAGAAAAAAATATTGTTGTTTACATGATTATATGAAAATACAAAGTGATTTGGAGTCTTAAATTGAAAAGTAAAATGTAAAAAGTAGGCCTTATATTGAGAATAGTAAAATCGAAACCTTCAGATGAAAAATTTAAAATTTCAATGGAATTTCCCCATCTCACAGGTGGTTTTGTAAATTATCAATTAACAAGAGAAAAGAAATTTGAAGAGGAAGTTGAGATAACACACCATGGAAGCATAAGAGGGTTTTGGAGGCATGTTTGCATTTGAGACCGGTACAACAATTGAAGGCACCTTTGGAGGTGTGCTTGCATTTGAAGCCGGTACAACAATTGACGGCACCTTTACGGCTGGAACTGCCTTTTCCTCTGAAGCAGCAGGAGATAATGATGAAGAGCTTTTTGCAACAGAGTCCTTAGGGACAACAGAATTATCGAGGGCTTCCTTGATTTCAGCTTTTTCGATTTGTGGGGATTTAGAGCTATCAGATACATTGCATCCTTCTGACAATGGCAAGGGTGAGAGTAAGGGTCTATAGGGAAGTGAAACGAATAAAAGGATAATAATTAGAAATACCACTAACTCAATAAGCTTAAAGAAGTTATAGATTAAAAAGCAAGAGCAAAAGCAAAAAGTAGAATTTGCTTGTTGGGGTAATGTTCGCTATCAGAAATATGGCAATTGCAACAAAAAGTTAAAAGTTGACTAATTTAAATGGTAGTTCTTGTATGAATACATGATAAAAGTGCACATGTTATCCAAAGAACTCCAGGTACAAACACAAAAAAGAAATCTAAACCAATTCTCCTTAGCTTTTAGAGTCATTACTCAAGACAATATTTATCAAACAAAGTCTGTTCACTAATTCACTGGATCATATGCAAAATTTTTGTAAAACCTACAAACAATATATATATATATATATATATATATATATATATATATATATATATGTGCATGCGTGTGTGTGTGTAAGAGTGCACGATTCTACCAGAGGTCTGCACAGCAAGAGGATTAGCAGCAGCATTGGTCATGGACCCAAATGAATCAAAAATCCGAAGATTGTCGTTCAACACAAAGAAGCCATTCTCTTGCTTGGCCAAAAAGAAGGTCTGAAAGAAAATATTAGTCACTTGATCATCCTCAATGAGAGAACCAGTTACTGCAACAATAACTCCTCCATCTTGAGAGGCCTGGGCATCTACAGTATTTATCTCGATCGTGAAATTCTTGAAATCAGATGACATAATCTTCTCATTAATTGCCTGCATCGATATAATTATGGAATGAAAGAGAATCTTCGTATTTTGATAGTATGGAGAAAATAGAAAGTAATGGTGTCAATTAGAGCAAACAATTTGCAGAAACTACTCACGTTCAACGTCTTGACAGGGGCCAAAATACCATCAAAATCGGGCCAGGAAAGAAGGCTCGACTCATTATAAAACTTGTAGGACTGTTGGGGAGAATCAGAGAGGATCTTGTAATAGTTTACCACAAAAGCATCTGCCACTTGTTGAGGAGTTATGTTATCCATATCTGTAAATGTAAAAGGTAACATTGTTATGTAAGTGTAATCAATGTAAATAATATTCGTGTAATACACGAAAAACAGATTACACGTATATACACATAATTACTCCCATGCATATGTTACACACACCGTGTTGAGGAATGGCACTTAAAAGGAGAAACAATTAGCAATTCTTCTTCCTGATTTTAGAATGGACATAAATTACAACTACCATTGGAAACAAAAAGCATCAAAAACAGGAACTGATAGCAAGTAGTTTGGAATGATTAATATAACCAACATAAACAGAATCCCAAAATCTCGAAAGTAAGCAGAGTATAATAAAGAAAGCAAACAGATAACATGTACGAAATAAAAGATTGCAAGTGAAATATGAGCGAACAATCAGATAAGCAATGACCATATAAAAAGCTTGATTGATCATGAACCAGCATAGTTGATAATTTAGAAACAGGCAAGTTGTTACACCCTATTAATTCATTAGGCAATAACGTCGACATATTTCACAAGGACATGCATACAACAAAGTTTATACAGAAAGCAACTACGCGGCACTAAATGTTTAAATTAACATAAATTAAACTAATGGACGTTTTTACATGGAATTTGAAATTCACCTTTTAATTTTAGCAGATTTGCAGAAAGAACAAGCACTCAGAGGGTCAAATATATAATTTCAAACCAAACAAGAAAACGGAAGCGGAAGACACAGACTTACATTCCATCGACACAACAGTGAATCAAATCTAACAAATAAGCAATCATAAACAGATAAACTATAAGTAACTGAGTAACTGTTCTGACTATCTCATTGGCACATGGAAATAACATAAAAACATTCACATATAACACAAGCACAACCAAAATATTAATAAAAAAATTAAGAACAATGGGGCACCTAATTTAAGTAAAAAAGAATTCAAGAATAATACAAAAATAACCCAGGTGACTAATAAGTTGTCAACCTGTTCTACGCAATTTCAAATAGATCTTAAACTTTTCCACGATGAACAAATAAAATAAACAAAAATAATAATAATGATAATAAATCCAATGTTTAAACAAAATAATCATAGAACATCTGATAAACACCGTCCCGGCAAGAAAAGAAGAACTTTAAGAAGCAACAAAAGTTCAGGACACAAATGAACGCCTAAAAAAGCACACAACAACAAAGAAAGAAACGTTTTCACTCTGCAAATCCAGAAACAAGGAGAAGGGTACAACAAAAATCAAATCTTTGACAAATTCGCACAAACAGATACAGTGAAAACAGCCCACAAATTAGAAAAAAGCAGAGAAAAAAGCAAAGGGTTTGACCTCTTAGAACTCGAAAGCGGCAGACGGAGATTATTTGAAAGATTTCAAGAATGCCTTTTTTTTTTCCGGAAAAAGGGCAAAGGCCAAAGGGTAGAAAAAGGGGGAAATTTTTTCCCAAAAGAGTCGATAAGAAAAAAACGCTGAAGAAGAAATAGGTCTTGGGTACAGAACAATTACTTGGCCAAATTTATAGCGAGTCGAAAAGAATTAAATAAAGAAAATTGGAAGGCGGTGACAATTGGAAGCCATGTTTGTTTCCTCACTTGGAATCAAAATATTTTCCTTTGCTGCAGAAATCTTGGTTTGGGAGGGAACCTCGGTGAGTTTTTAGGAAATAAACAAGCTGGCAAGGATCTCGGGCCCACCTTGGATTTGTAGCTGCGCCATTTTGAGGTTTCTCCTGCATGGGATTTTGAAAGCAAGTGGTGGGGTATGCTTCTAAACTTATGAAATTGATATAACTTTATAGGGTTGGTTAACGTGAGAATAGTTAAGTGAAAAAAGTAAAATAAATTGTAGTCATTATATTATATGATTTAATGGTATATAAATAAATTATAATTATTTCTTCGTTAAGGGCAATGTAGTAATTTAGCACACTACACCTAATGAGGTGGACCCCACTCTACTTTAATTAACGTGTCAAATCCCAACAACTCAGACACACACACACACCAATAGGCACGCACACCAGCACATACACACACAGTCGGCCACCGAGCCCACCACCTTCACCACCGGCGCCATCGCCCCGCCACCATCTCCACCCACTCCCCCACCCGCCGGAATCCCACAGCGCCGCTTTCACGCCGCCATTTTATCACTTTTCCTCACCTGCTCCTCCAACAGTCCCTCCTCCGACCATCCTCCGACCACCCCGTTCGCCTCCCCTGCATCACCTTCACTTTGTCGTCGCAGCCTCAACTCTGACATTCGGCGTTGCCGCTCCCTACTGCAAATTGCCGCTAATCGCCCCTACAACAATGTCGTCGCTCTCCGCTGCAACTCTGCCGCCACTCGCCGATGCGACATCGACATCTCCGACACACACGCACATCGTTCGAGCGTACGATACCGCCGCTCGCCTCCGACCCCACACACACAGAGACCGTCGTCTTCCCAAGCAGCCACCGTAATCCTCCGCCACAGGGCTCCAGGCGTGCTGCCTCCGGCTGAGTAAAGACCACCTGCAAACAGGGCTCCAGACGGCGGTACGACCGTGACAAACGTCGGTGATTGTCGATTCGCCAGAAAAAACGCCCGAAATTTGAAAATTTGAAATTGAAGTGTGGTGGAGTTGTGACTTTCTGTTGAGAATTAGGTTAAGTCTAGGGACCTATCTGAAATTTTATAAATTTAATTATATTTCAATTTAACTCCAAGGGTCAAATTTGTAAATAGTGAAAGTTAATAAAACATGGTTTTTTTATATATTCTATTGTGCATATATATTAAATAACAAATAAATTTTGAAACATCCAAATGCGAGGGATTTCTTCTCTGGCCATCAGATGCCAGAGTGTCCTTCACAGCAACCTCCATCATTTTGATCCCGAAGAGATCGGGACCTAGTTCTTGGTCCGACTATAGACCTATCAGCTTATGCAACGTGACTAACAAGATCATCTCTAGAATCCTCAACGGGCGCCTAGCTCCTCTCCTCCCCCACCTCGTCTCTCCGAACCAGAGTGGATTCATCAAAGATCGAGTCATTAGTGATAATATCCTTTTGGCTCAGGAGATGATACACGATATCTCTCATGCGAATCGAACACGAACCCTGAACCTCGTGCTGAAGCTAGACATGGCCAAAGCATATGATAGGGTCGAGTGGTCGTTTCTCAGGGAGGTACTGTTTCGGATGGGATTCCCTAATCGTTGGATTAGCTTTGTGGAGGCGTGTGTAGAGCACTGCACGTTCTCCGTTTTGATTAATGGTAGTCCCACGACCTTTTTCCCTTCTACCAGCGGCCTTCGTCAAGGGGACCCCTTATCCCCTCCCTTTTTGTTTTGGTGGCTGACTATCTCTCCCGCTGCCTTGACGGCTTCATTCGCGACTTTCCGAGGATGACCTACAGCACGCGCGGCTGTGGGCCTCCCATTTCCCACCTCTCTTATGCGGATGACATTATCATTTTCACCTGTGCTAATGATAATGGGCTAGTAGATCTCATGAGTCTTTTGGACCACTACAGTGAGACATCGGCCAGCTAGTCAGTGTTAGTAAGAGCACCTTTATCATGGATCACCACATTGCAGACCATTGGGCTCATCGGATTCACGAGCGCACTGGATTTGCTCGTGGGGACTTACCATCCGTTACCTTGGGGCCCCCCTGTACAAAGGCCACCTCTCCCATGAGCTATTCATCGACGTCCGTCAGAGGATGATTGACCGGATCTCTGGCTGGTCACATAGACACCTATCCTTCGGAGGCCGACTTGCTCTAATCAAGAGCACTCTTTGTGCCCTCCCTCTTCACCTTCTCGCGGTGCTTGACCCCTATCAGTCTACGATTCATGAGTTAGATCAGATCTTAGCCCGCTATTTTTGAAGCCGTAGAAAAGGCTCGTAGGGACGGCGGCAGACTAACTGGGTGAAGTGGGACTCCATATGCCGTCCCCATTCTGAGGGTGGCCTTGGGATTCGGTGTTTTTCTGATGTTTTCACTGCGTTTTCCTACAGGATGTGGTGGCGCCTTAGGGAGGGAAAGTCCCTTTGAGCCCAATACCTCCTGAGGAAATATTGCCCTGGTGGAGCTGCCCATCCTTGCAGGGTGACAGCCACTGCTCGGGATAGTCGACAGTGGAGACGGCTCACCATTGTTGGCAGACGTGCTCAAAAGTATATTTTTTGGACCTTGGGTTCTGGGGAGATTAGCTTCTGGGATGAGTGGTGGTTCGGCGAGTCCCCCCTTTCGAGTACTAGGTCGGTCACTCACCTGCCTTTCATGCAGGTAAAGGACCTTTGGACGGGGGGATTTTGGGATTGTGATAAGATGGAGGATATTCTGGGTGCGGGTGGGGGTTTCAGTAGATTAGAGATTGACCAGATCCGACAGATTCCCATTCTGGAGGAAGGTTTGGACGGCATGAGGTGGAGACTTACATCTTCGGGTGCATTCTCTACGTCATCGGCCTGGGGAGATGTGAGGTTGGGCAACCGTCCTAACCTCCTCTTCGGGGCGATTTGGACCGACCTTCTTACCCCGACCATTTCCGTATTTTTGTGGCGTCTTCTATTGTGGCGCCCCATTGACACTGTGATGCAGGCGAGAGGGTTCTTCTTCCCCTCCCATTGTCATTGTTGTACTGAGACCAGTACCTTTGAGATCGAGACTTTCACCCATCTTTTCCTTGAGAGTGAGATTGTGAGGAGAGTGTGGGAGCACTATGCCAGATATACTCATATACCCCTACCCACTACAGACAATTTTTTTGAGCTACTGAGTTTTTTCTCACACCGCACACACAGTAGACATGTGGGCTTCCTTATTCCTTGTTTGATCCTATGGTCCACCTGGACAGAAAAGAATAACGCGAAGCATAGGGATATTATATTTTCTTGTGCTCACATCATTTTGCAGGTTAACAGACACCTCTCTCTCCTCACCGCCCTGGGTAGACTCACGACGAGAGACTAGGCGGGTTGTACACCGCCTCATCGTTTAAGGCCACCACCTA